AGTATAAAAGCAACAATAGCATTTTTATCATCTCTTTTAAAATACAAACAATGATCAAATTCACTTCTCACAAAACTAACAGAAGAAGCAAAAGTATCAAATCTCTTGTACCATTATCTTGGAGATTGCTTCAAACCATACAAAGGTCTTTTCAACAAACAAACATGTTCAATTTTAGATTTATCAATAAAACCAAATGGCTGTTTCATATAAATCACTTCATCAAGATCACCATATAAAAATGAAGTTTTTACATCCATTTGTTCAAATTCAAGATTATAATGAGCAACAAGAGCTAACGTAACTCTAATAGTAGTGTACTTAATCACAGGAGAAAAAATCTCATTGTAGTCTAGACTTTCCTTTTGAGTAAACCCCTTAGCCNTAATAGTAGTATACTTAATCACATGAGAGAAGATCTCATTATAATATATATCTTCCTTTTGAGTAATATTTTTGGCAACTAGTCTAGCTTTAAATCTTATAGGCATCTGCTCTGTGTTACCCTCAATACTAAAAATTCATTTGCAATCAACAAGGGATTTACCTGCAAGTTTAGGAACTAAAATCCGGGTACCATTTTTAATCAAGGAGTCCATTTCATCATTCATAGCAGCCTGCCAATCCTTTGATTGCTGACAAGAAATAGCTTATTCATAGGATTTTGGTTTTCTTAAGACTAGGTCTTGATAGGAAAGTAAAGCCAAAGCTAGGAAAATCTATACTTGACAAGTTCTCTTATATCTATCTTAACTCTATTTCTAGTCAACTGGTAATCACTAACATCACTTATTTGTTATTCTAAAACTTCTTGAACCTATCCCTCTTCTTCAACATCTAGAAAATCTGCATTTTCAGGTTCAGTATTAAACTATTTAGAATCAACATTAACCTGTTCAGAATCAGCGGTTCAGTTGGTATACTAAGCTCCACCTGCAGCTTCGTTTTATCTCTTCCTCTCCCTTCAGGCAGTTTCTTAGACTCATTATCTTTCAAACAAGGCATGTTAAATTCATCAAATGTAACATCACTACTTGTGATAATCTTAAAACCACTAGACTCTCTACTCTAAAGCCTATAACCCTTAACCCCATCATGATAACCCAAGAAAACACATTTATGGGCCCTAGATTCTATGTTTTGATGAGAATAAGCACCACATCCAAATATTTTCAGATGTGAATAGTCAGGGACATTTCCAGTCTATTGTTCTTTAGGTATTTTATCACCTAGAGCACTTGAATGGGTTTTATTAACAATGTAAGTGGCTGTCATTTAGGCTTCCCCCACACCTGAACCAACTAGCATGCACCTCACATTCTCTAACAAAGTTCTATTCATCCTCTCAGCCACTCCATTCTGTTGGGGGATAGAAGGGACAGTTCTATGTCTTCTAACGCCATTTTCTGAACAGAATTGATTAAACTCAGCATTGAAAAACTCAAGACCATTGTCAATCCAAAGAGTCTTTATTTTCTTTCCAGGTTTTAAATTTCCCAAAGGTTTCAGATTTATGTTTTAACAGGTAAACCCAAACCTTTCTAGAATAGTCATCAATCAAGGAAAAAAAATATCTATTTCCACCTTGAGAGATAGTGGATGAAGGCCCCCATAAATCAGAATGTATATATTCAAGGACATAGGCAGATTTGTGCTTTCCAGTGTTAAAATGTAATTTGTGCTATTTCTCTAAAGTGCAGTTTTCATAAAAAGGAACTCTAGAAATAGAGTCCTTCCCAAAAACACCCCTTTTATGAAGGATATGTAGGCCTTTTTTACCTACATGAGCTAAAGTGGCATCAAGTTCAGCATTGGGAGACTCAACCATATAGCCAACTACAACTGGTGTGCTGTCGTAGGCACCCAAAAATAGTCCTTAAACCTCTAAAACTAATGTAGTAATGGAAGTAAGGGTCGATCCCACGAAGAGTGTGCAATTAACGATTTATGCTTCGTATAACGATTGGGGGGTTCTGTTTATAACGAAATCAATCTTATAACAAATAACAATGTAAATTAACGAGTTGTATTAAATCAATGAAACGAATCTTGATCAAAGT